AATGGCCAGGGGGAGAGATATGTCCAAACACTAAAAAATTGTCTGCGAGCCATGCACAGTGAAGAGAAAGACAGAGAACTTGAATTGTGCAAGTTACTAATGCAGTATCGTAGAACACCTCACACAGTAACTGGCAAAAGCCCGTCTGAATGTATGCTAGGAAGGCAGATTAGAAATAGATTAGATTTACTTAAACCTTTTACTCATGACAAAAATGCTTACACAGACCAGAGTCTTAGAAATGTTGCTATAGATACCAGAGTCTCAGTGCGAGATTACTTTAATGCCAAATGGCAATTTGGCAAGGTTATACTAAGGTTAGGATTATTACATTATTTAGTTGAGTTAGATGATGGTAGCACGTGGAGACGTCATATTGACCAAATTAGAGTAATTGGGCAGGATACACCTATAGAATATAACCCAACTTGTTTCATTCCTGATACAGTTACACATAGTATAGTTCCAAGGGAGGTATCTGTCCCTGAACCCAATTCCGTTTCACCACCTACAAATGTACAAGAACTTCTAAATGATACAATAGAGCCAACAGTACCTGAGGCTCACACTGAAGCTGAACCAGTATTAAGGCGTTCAAGTAGAGTATGTAAACCTGTTCAGAGGATGAATTTGTAAGTACATCTTTATTTCAATCTGTATTTATGAATTTTGGTCAAGAGAGGAGGTGTTATATACTTGGCAACACAGGTAGGCAACACCGCTCACTGACACAAGGGAATAAAGTTAGTTATTAGGCAATAAAGGTTAATGATGTAAAACCACGTTGTATTATTAATTATTACCTTATTTAATTAAGAAATACCAAATACACAACAGCCAACATGGAGGAAACGATTAGAACGATATATGTCAGTATCAGGACAGCTCCAAAAGACAGAAGAACAAAAAATAGATATTCTACTCTATCATATGGGAGAAAAATCTGAGGATATTTTATTACAATTTCAGCAACTTCCAGATACTTATGACGAAGTTCTAAATGCTTTTGACAAATATTTTATACCCAGACGTAATATTATATACGAAAGGTTCAAATTCAATTCTACAATAAAAAACCAGATGAGAGCATTGACCTATTCATCACTAGCCTACATACCTTAGCTGAAAATTGTAATTATGGGCAGTTGAAGGAGGAATTGATCCGAGACCGTATAGTAGTAGGTATGCTGGACACAAAAACATCAGAAAAATTACAGTTAAAAGAAACCCTAACATTACAACAATGTATACTGATAGGTAGGCAAGCAGAGTTGCAGGCAGTGCAGAATAAAGATTTACTAGGTGTCCAGGGACATATTGGTAGAGTGCAATTAAATAAAAGTGGTGCGAGCACATCTAAAGTAAGTGATGGGCAGTGATCCAGTGGTACTAAAGGTGTGAAAAAGTGCGGTTGTGATACCTTATGCACATCAACTACGAGTTTTAAAATTCATTCATGAAGGTCATTTTGGTATCGTTAAATGTAGAAACCGTGCTAAAACTTCAGTATGGTGGTTAGGTTTGTCTACACAGATAGGAACCTAGTTAGAAATTGTCCTCAGTGTATTGAAATAGAACTAATCCTAAATGACCTTTCATTGCTGATAAGTTTCCTGATAGACCATGGTAGAAAGCAGCTCTTGATCTATATAAATGTCATGATACATGGTACTTAATCATTACAGACTACTATTCAAGGTTTTTTAAATTCTTTAAACTTACAAAAATGACAGAACAAGTTGTAGTTGAGAGGGTTAAATAATTATTTTCTAGATATGGCATATTATGTGAAATAGTGCGATCTGATAATATCCCACAATTTCGAAATGAATTTTTAAAATTTTCACAAGAATATGATTTTAAATTAATAACCAGCAGCCCTATTTTTTCACAGTCCAATGGATTTGTTGAGGCTGCCGTAAAGGTTGTAAAAAATTTAATAAAGAAAAATGATGACATCCATAAAGCTCTTTTAGCTTATAGAACTACTCCCCTAGAATGTGGGTTTTCTTCTGCTGAATTGTTATATGGAAGAAAGATAAGGTCATTTCTTCCTTTATTACCAAGTGACTTAAATAATCCTGTCGATTTGAGTTTCCTAACGGAAAAGGAGAATAGAGCTAAGGATAGTAGTGCAGAACAGTTTAACAAAAGACATCGGACCAGAACATTGCCGGATCTAACAATTGGGGAATATGTCTAGGTAAGTGATCTTAGGATTTATGCCAAAGTTGTGGATCTTTTAGATCAACCCAGATCTTATTTAATAGAATCAAATTCAGGTCAGCTTTACCGCCGTAATAACTGGCATTTAATACCAGCACCTTATTACGTAAAACCCAGTCAGTTTTCTCCAACATTAGTATCAAGAGAGTCCGTAGGCACTCATAATAATTATAGTAATTTTGAACACAAGCAAGATATATATATATATATATATATATATATATATATATATATATATATATATCCGGTTTTTTAGGCGTTACGCCCGTCCGGTAGGGATCTATGGAGGAGTATCACCAAGCCGCAAGCCCTTATCTCTTGCCGTACTGCTCCACCATAGGCCGATCAGATCCCAGCATATCCTAGTCTAAGCCGCAGATTCATCTAGAATTTTAAACTGCTGCGTTAGACTTTCTGTTTTCAGTACACCGAGCTGGGGCTCGAACCCACATCCACTGAACCATTCGACAGTGAAGCGAATGAGAGGCAGCCGCACAGCCCGCTGAGCTATCTGACCGACCACAAGCAAGATACAAAATGCAATTTGTTAAACTGGACCTTAGTAGAGCAAGACCGAGAAACTGAAATCAAATTGAATGATTCTCCAAAGACTATGTCTGAAACTGTTCGTGCTAAGTCACTACCAGTATCATATAAATCTCAATTTGTGTCTACTCCTAAATTTTCACGAAATATTACTGAAGTTCCTCCTTCAGGTAGACCTAAACGAGAAATAAGAAAACCTTCTCACTTAAAGGATTATGTACAATAGTTGTATATTATCTTTAGTATAAGATAGTATAGTGTTTTGTATTAATATTTTGTTTTATTTATATAAATGGCTTAAAAGGGGGATGTTCTGTTAGTGTATCTTTGGTTGCCTATATAAATGGCATGTAGGTGGAGATTTAGGTTTTAGGAATAAGTTAGGTTAAGGTGATCCGGGCATGGCGGGGAAATAGTTATAAATACTTATATAGAAGTTGTTATAAACGCAACATGTCATACACATTCTTGTACCTTGTGTGGCCTGACTTTAAGGGGTGGCCGGAAACCTATGGCCCGTTTGGTGATTCACCACCCGGTATGGTGAAACAGACACATTAACACTAAGATATATTTAAGAATTTATAAAGACAGTGTACTGGAAACTACTGGAAATGGCAGACATGAGGGTACTGAGAAGAATTACAGGAACTATGCTGATTTATCGAATGAGAAGTAAAAAAACTCGAAAAAAAAATGTAACAATGGCAAATGTACAAATAGCAAGAGATAAATCAGCAAATGGCAGAAGAAGAATCGGATGACCGTGCAAAAGATGAAGTGACAACCTTCCATGGAGCCACTAAACAAGCAGAATTGATTTTAAGACAATAATTGAAAAATGCATTGTACAACATACCACTGGTCCTTGCATTTCGATGCAACGAGAAGGTTGTTGATTCTGTAGAGTTTGTAACAGTACTGTAAGCACTAAAACAAAGTCGAATAGATTACAGGTATACGTCACATACATCGGAAACATTAATTATAGCGCTACATGAAGTAAACTCCTACATGAAAATACAGAAACATTTAGCTCTGGTCGAGGAGTAAAATAAGAAGACAATATTTCACCAACATTGTTTAAGGCAGCTCTAGAGTCAATGCTTAAGCACGCCTAATAGCAATATATTGACATCAATATAGATGGAGAAATATAAATTCATATGAGGTTTGCCGATGACATTGTATAAGTCGCAAACAACTTACAAGACACAATTTATATGACACGTTATCATAAAACTCTGTCTGAAAGAGCATAATTAAAGATGAACTTTGAGAAAACTAAACTTATGACAAATCTCGTAATGAGCTGAAATATAACTATTGACAGTAATATCATATAACACACAGACACTTACAAATATCTGGGATACGATATAAAAATAAGCAAAGACAATTATTGACAACACATAAAATACAAAAACGGATAGGTCTGACGTCGTCAGCATTTGACAAACTAAGCTATATTCTAAGAAGTTTAATTCTCACATGTCTTAAGCAAAAGGTTTATATCCAATGGGTTTTACTCGAACAAACCTATGGAGCAGAGACTTTAACCCTGGCGATAAAGATCCGAGTTACACAATGAGTTATAGAAGATGCAACGCTGAGCGTGAGCCTTCGAGACCTTATAACAAACCAATAAATCAGGCAAAGAGCAGTACCTTAAAACATCATGGAAAAAATCACGAAGTTAAAGCGAAACTGGGCAAGAGAGAGGCGAAACTTAGAGAGAACACAAGACGAATGATGAACAAGACTAATCATGGAATGGAAATGCAGAAACTATAAAAGAAGCCAAGATCGACCTCCAAATAGATAAATCGACGGCCTGAGAGAAGTAGCGGGAAACTGGCAACAAGCCAGTCTAGAAAATATTGAAAGATACTGAGAAAGGTCTATGTCCAGCCGTGGGTGCAATTAACTGAATGATGATGATGATGATGGGAGACATGAGTATCTAGTTTATGTAATAAGGATTGTCCTAAAGGCAGAAGCAAATTTAATGAAAAAAATAAAGTAAAACGTGAGAGGCATCATAAAATTGCTTGGTAATATATTTTTGTTATAATTGTAAAATGGGAATGACACATACAAAGTATTTGATAAATAAATAACTATTAAAATTACCATAAATAAATAATTTAATTTTTTAAATACTTTTCTATAAAATTAAAAAAATATTATCTTAAACTAACAATTTTATTTGACAAGTTTCTGTGATATTAAGGTCGACCATATCCCAACTGATTTGCAACTCCAGCATATCCTTGAACAATAGGGAGAGTCTTTTCCGCAGCTTTTCTTACATTTTGTCCTACTCTTTCCTAAAAATAATAACAAGTGACATTAGTAAAAATATGAATTCTAGTTGGATATAGTTTTAATTCATGTATATTGTATGTAAATAAAAAAAAAGTTTCATGTAACAATAAAACCCTGAAAACTTTGTTTGCAAACTTCCACAAAATTTATTTTAAACTATTATCACTACAGCTCGTTCGACTGCATGCCTTTCTCAAGTGATCTATTTTTGGCATGCGTTTACACTTTATAGTCTCTAATGAAATAGGTTGAGGAGGGGAGAACTGTTTGTCTCAAGTTTATCATTCAGAATTATATAGGTGTTTTTTAACTTGTTGATTTCCATAGATTTTAACAAAGATAGCTTAAGACATTTATTTTGAATGTGAAGAATTTTAAATTCGTCATTAAAATAATGATTATGATCTAGAAGGTGAAGTCCGTATGTCGAATTTGCTTTTCTATTATTGAAAGCCCTTTTATGTTCTGCTATTCGTTTATTAAAGTTTCTACCAGTTTGACCGATGTAAGTTTTTGGACAGTCCCCACATTTAAGTTTGTACAGCACTGTGTAAGTGTTTTTTATTTTGGCTCTTGTTGTTGTTAATATATTTGCATAGGTCGTTATTTGTTCGGAAAGCTGGTGTTATTCCTTTCTTTCTTATGTGTTTGGCTATTTTTGTTGATATTTTGCCTTATATGGAATCAAGTAGAAGGTGCTGGGTTTTTTCTTGTGTAGTTTTTGATTTAACATTTTATTAATTGTTAATTTGTTGTATCAGTTGTTTACTACTATTTGCTTAATGATATTTAATTCTGTCTCAAAGTTTTATTTTGACATCGGAATTTCTGGTAATCTATGTAACATACTATGATAGGCTGCCAGTTTATGTTGTGTTGAGTGGGATGATAAAGTGTGTATAGTCGTGTCAGTATGGGTAGGTTTATAAAATATGAAGATGTCATGTTTGTTTTTAAGTCTGATAATTTTTAAATCTAAAAAATTTATGGATTGATTTTGTTCTGTTTCTATTGTAAATGCAATATGACTGAAGCGAATTAATATACGATAAAAATTGGTCGAGTTGCCTGTTAGCTCATGTGAAACTAGTACGTCGTTTACGTCCATCTTCACCAATATAAAAACTGTTTAAATACGTGATGTTTTGAAATCTTTGTCTGATGAAAATATCTGATAGCAATGGGCTTAGAGAATTGCTCATTATAAGTCCTGCACTGTTATTTCTATATATTTGATTATTAAATTCGAAGTAGTCCTGGTTTATGCAAACTTCAAGAAGATGTAAAATTTCAGATGTAATTATTGGATTTGTACTAGTTTGGTCTAAAAGGTTTTTCACTAGAATAAAAGTTTCTGTAGGAGGGATACTGGCGACATAAAACATCTGGTTTTTAAATATGTGTTTACAAAATAAAGTGTTACCGAAATATATTCAGTTAAAAACCAAAAACCACAGCCCCGCCACACAAAAAGGGATACATCACGGTCAGACCAGATGGCTGAAACAAGACAGAAAATACCAATACAAGAAGCGAGATATTATAGCTGTTTATTTTAATCTTAAGGTGTTAATAACAACAAGAGCCAAAATAAAAAAACACTTACACAGTGGTGTGTACAAACTTAAATGTGGGGACTGCTCTAAAAACTTACATCGGTCAAACTGGTAGAAACTTTAATAAACGAATAGCAGAACATAAAATGGCTTTCAATAATAGAAAAACAGATTCGACATACGCACTTCACCTTCTAGATCATAATTATTCTTTTATTGACGAATTTAAAATTCTTCACATTCAAAATAAAGGCCTTAAACTATCTTTGTTAGAATCTATGGAAATCAACAAATTAAAAAACACAGATATAATTCTAAATCACAAACTTGAAACAAACCGTTCTCCCCTCTTCAACCTATCAGCCGAAACAGCTGTAGTGATAATAGTTTAAAATAAATTTTGCGGAAGTTTGAAAACAAAGTTTTCAGTGTTTTATTGTTAAATAAAATGAATTTCCATCAAGTAACGGTCGAAATTTCAATTCTTTTGAAAAAGTTTCAAGTAATAAGAATTTTCTTTATAATAATGTTCTTATGTGATAACCTTTGATGGACAAATAAATCATACAGGTTTATAAAAAAGTAGTTTTAATATAGTTCTGACATAATATAATCTAATATGTCATAGAATGTAGGCAGCCCTATACAAACAGTTATTACTTATTACGCCAAAAATAAATATTTGTATCCCAAATATCTCATTGCAGATATGTCCAAATGTTAAATATGTCTGATATAGAGCTGATTTAGAGTTAAGAACTACACGAGATTTTTACTGAAATTTTAGTTTTATAGCTACTTGGATAACTACATAAAGAAGTATATCAGAACAGACTAGACCAGATACTTAATAGTCCATATGTAAACCACGACACAAATATAAGTTATGCCCACATAGCAGATTCGTTGGGAGCTGCTGGATTTTCTGAAAAAGAAGAGGCAAACAGACTTATTTTATGAAGTAGAAGAGATATTATATATCGCATATATAATGAAGCTTATATTATTGACGATGAATTGCATTTAGTAGTAGATTTGTAGTTATCTAAAGTATAATGAGTATAAGTTGCTCAAATTGTTGTTATCTGTCTTTTTATTAATAGTTTGTTTTTCTTGAAAAATGAATGCTATCTCGAGAAACAATCTTTGTAAATCATTACTTTCCGTGGATACGATTTTTATATTCGTAAAATCGAAAGCGTGTTTTGTTGTGTTAACATTTGTGTTTGGGGAACATCTATCAAGGTATAACCTAATGTCATTCTTGTGAAACGTCAAACGGCTGGAAACTATTTGGGAGGTGTGACCTACATAACCCTTGGTTATGTAGGTCACCAAGGGTTACATGAAGCCAAACAACTAGCCCAGGACAGAGAAGGATGGAGGGAAATCGTAAAAAAACTGAGAAGGCCTGATGATGTCACCACATCCCTAAAGGGATTAGGACTAAGGAGGAGGACCTACATAAGAACCTTCAGAGCCCACACAACCAAGTTTGTATACATCACTTTTATCTGAGTTTAGTACTTCCAACCCCTCAGAGGCAGGTGTAGATTAATCTACACTTATTACACTTTTTTTGCTACACTTTTCAATATAACAGAGTAGTGAAGCACTACGTCTTGCAAAGAAACGACTTAGTGTAGCACTTCCGCAGTTCTCTAGAATTCTTGCTACACCAGAAAACAAAAGAACATATCTAATATTAAATTTTCCTCCATTAAATACGCTATGGTTTAGGTTACATTTTATTTTGCGAATAAATGAGAAATTTGAAGAATTATTAATGGAACTAAAAACTGATAATTTTTAATGATAATTTATATTTATTTTTATATCAGTATTACATATAAATCGCATGGTGTATAATAACAACCACTCTGGCTAGTATTAACGTAAATTAATATTCTAATCGAAGTATTTTATTAATATAAAGAAAAAAAACTATTTAGAAAAACTCTCAAGAATCACATTACTTAAAAAAGTGTTAATGAATAAATTGCATTATTAAGCAAAAAATTAGAATAGATCGATCAACAAATAAATAGAACTAAAAGATTAATAGCATATAAAATAACTGATTTGAGTCAATGTTTGACCAGCAAGAATATTGGACTCATAAGTAGATAAAATATACTTTTTTTATCTATTTGGATTTAGATATTTGAGGAAATCACTGCCATTAGTTATAAGTATTATCCAATTTCGTTAAACTGATATCCCAGCGAAAGCTGTAAAACAGCACCGGTTTTAGTCGGATTTCATCTTCCAGTCAGCTACCACAAAGTGCATAATACTCAAAAGCAGTTAGTCAACCACGTAGTATATTAATCCCAAACAAAGATCAAGCTATTCTATTTAAAACTCTAGATAATGGTACAATTAACGACTATCTTAAAGGATTGAGTTAGCATATAGAAAAATATAATTTTCGCACTCCGTATATCAAACGTTAGAATATGCATATATCTATCATCTAAAAACCTAGTAGATAAATTCATATCAGAAACAAAGAAGATAATAGTAAATGGAAATATACTAGAAGAGAGAAGATTAATAACTCCACCAGTCCGCTTAATTCTCTTTAATACATGTCCAGGCATACCTTCTAACTTAATAATGGACGAATCCATAAAACTAGGTTTAAATCCTCTCTCAGACATATCATACCTAAGGATAGAAGCAACCAATCCTGCCTTCAGTCATATATTAAACTTCCGAATACAAATTTTCGTTTCACATTTTCCAGACAACTTTGTACTACCTTAAACTTTTATCATCGAATTGGAACAAACATCATACCGCATATTTATATACCCAAACTAAACAACGCAAATTAACTGGACACCAGGCAGCTTATTGTCCAAATATATCACCTTCTAACCATCCTCATAATGATAGTGCAATGCAAACAGAAATGAGACAAAATTCATTAATAAATTATGCTCAACAAGATAATCTACAAAATACTCCCACAATCTCAAATACCACTCCCTCCTCACTTACTACGTCTTCTCAAACCACATTACAAACAGTAGCAATCCCAAATTGATCAATAAACCAAACCCAACAATGCTCACTACAAAATATATCTATACACCTATATCGTCTGAATCATCTAGTATCAACACTTACCTCCAAATAAAAATACACATATGGATTCTCACGAACCGCCGAATAAAACTTTGAAGAACCTAAGCTTCAATTAAAGAAAAAAACCAAAACTGATGACAAAAACTTAATAGATGAGATACCAAACCTCCAAACATTACTAAAACCTGTTAGAAAATATGTAGACAGGGAAAAGCAGTTGTTAATCTTCGATCAAGTAGTGGATCTATTCGAAAATATATAAGGATTAAAAGACATAATCAGCGTAATCAGAAGACTCTCATGCACGTATAAAGTTTCTAACGGAATTACATCCATACTACATCGACAAAGCAATGAAAACCAAAACAATCAAATTAATACGAAAACTTGGCAAATACAAAGGTTCACTCTCCGTAGTAAAAAAACTTCGTTGTCGGAAGAAGATTCCGCTTCATCGGTAAATAATACCTCTAAAGAACAATAAGATCACTATTGTCTTCGTGTTTGTTCCATAACATTCAGGAATACAAGAAAATGAAGAAGCATATGAACTAGCTCGCTTATCATCCTTCAGCCAGGACTCCATTCTTTTTAATTAGGTAATTCACTACAGTGTTAAGTGCGTGGCAAAATAAGTGGAGTGCATCACAAAATAAACTCAAGGACATCAACAATTATTAGTAAAACCGTGGTTCCAACCCACAGCGAATAGACACGACCACGACCAAGTGAGAATAACGAACACGTTTGCGACTTGACACAGTAATTTAATACATAAACACCTCTTTACGCGAACTGTGCCGCCAATGTGTGAAAATTGTCAAGTAACACTCTCCGAGAAGCAATACTAAATCACTCTCAGTGCAAAACGTATGAAGCAATAAGAAAGAAGCACACTATCCCAAATAGGAAAAACGTGAACATTAAAAACACAATAAGTTATCTTAAAGACTTAGGACTGTATCAATTATTGTAATTTTTTCTAACTTTACCTGTATTATACTTTTTAGGTCGCTAATAACCCTTATGGTTACAGAGTAAATAAATAAAAAAAAATTATTATATATTCTCCAAGGCAAACGATGCAAATAGATACGATGTACAATTAATAAACTTATAAGAAAAACAATGCTAGATTTAAAATTAGGTTACATATTAAATGTTCAAAATCTTACCAATTTCTTCCCGAATTTCTTCCAAAACTTTCTGCCCTCAGTTTGATCAGTGCAAGCAACTAGTAATACTAATGCAACAATAAAAATAACTGATAGTTTCATCTTGAATCGATATGATACCGTTGAAATATTAAAATTACATCTGCAGAGAAACACTCATCTTGCATCTCTTATATATATTTTTAAATAAGATATTTAATAAAAAGAAGTGTAGTTCCCCTGTTTCTGGTTTTATTTGAAGATAATTAAACATCCGTAATCGCTTCCAGCAAAGATTTGTCTACAGTTGATTCATTATAGCGGTATTTTATAAACGGAAATACAGCCTCAAAATATTGGACGAAAGAAAATACTTTTTCAATAAATAAATTATTTTTAGTTTAAAATTTAATTAAAGTGTAATTATATAGGTGATTTAAAAATAAATACCATGCTACTCATAATAGTACCAGTTTTAATTCAAGCATAGTAGTAAATTAATTAAAAAGGCAAAAACGATACATTTTATTGAAAGCAAATTCTCAGATAACATATACAGTGTGTCCGTAAAGTATGGAATAAACTCGACATTTCCTAAATGAAAAAACTTTTTAAAACAATCTAAAATACGTCGATTTTTAAATTTAATGTTCTCGATTTTACAATAAAATTTCATTATACAAGGTGATACACATTACAGTAATGACGTCATTGGCTCTTTTTTTTTAAATGTAACACCCTGCATTTTAGGGTGTCTTTAGCTTTATTTGATGCCAATAAAGTATAATACTGGGGGTCTAACTTATATAATTTAAAAGACATGCGCTTGTATTTGAAAGTAACCCAAACGTTGTACAAATTCTTGTAGAACCTTATTTATGATTTCTTGAGAAATATTGTTTAATTATTTACGAATTCTTGTTTTTAAGTCTTTAATATTTGCAGGTGTCATTTTATAAACAACATTCTTTAAATGGCCCCACATAAAAAATCCAAAAGATTGAGGTCTGGCGACCTCGCTGGCCATACAATATGTCCACGTCTTCCAATCCACCATTGTAAAAATTTCGTTTAGGTACCTTCGAACATCTAAAGCATAATGCGGAGGCACACCATCCAGTTGAAATCATAAACTTTTATCAAAACCTCCAAGATTAATTGTACTGGGGAATAAATTAACTAAAGTAGATACAAGTTACCCACTTAAAATCTGAAGGTATGCTGGCCCGTTTAAATTAAATTCGAAATAGTAGGGTCCAATGATTTTATTTCTTACAATGCCAGCCCATACGTTTACCTTTTGCGGTTTGTGTATGATGTTCCTGCATCCAGTTGGAGTTTTCTTTTGCCCAATATCTACAATTTGGACGGTTGACCAAGACATTTAATTTGAATGTAGTCTCATCAGAAAAAATAATATTTTGAACTAAGAGAGGGTTTACTAAGAGAGGGGGATGTTGTACCATAATTTACAGAGGGACAGTCTGATTTGCGTGCATTTTCAACCGTACCAGTTTCTCGAAATTTCTTTCAATCTTACTTACTGTTGACTGCCTGATGAGTATTTCTGGATATTTATCATTAAATAAATTACACACTTCCATCTGAGTTCGCGATTTGTCTCCATACCCAATCATCATGAGTATTTCAATTCTTTGCTTTACACTCAAATTCATTTCTACTTAAAATTATTTCTAAGCAATAATACAGAACATTTACGAATTAATACAATTATTGTACTACTTAATTGTTATTGAACGTTACTAAAAATAATTTACAGTTTACCAAAAACTAGAAGTACGCTACTTTTTTGCCATTGATAATAAATAATTTATTTTCTAAGCGCGTATCTTTCAAATTATATCCATTAGACCCGAGTACTTTTTTGAAATCAGCTCATTTTTATCGATCTAAAAAGATCGATAAAAATGTTACATTTAAAAAAAGAGACGATGACGTCATCACTGTAATGTGTATCACCTTGTATGATGAAATTTTATTGTAAAATGTAGAACATTAAATTTAAAAATTGACGTGTTTTAGATTTTTTTAAAAAGGCTTTTCATTTAGGAAATATCGAATTTATTCCATACTTTACGAACACATTGTATAGCAGAATAACTAGATTATAATATTGTAAACACAATAACACATTGCAGACTAATCAGGGCAACATATGGGTGGTATTATACAGGATGATTAATTAGTGTGACGAAGCTGAGTACTAGATATATTATAGTAAAAGATACAAAAATGGTATTTACAAAAATTTTAGATAGCTTTAAACTCACCTTTTAAAATAAGTTACAATCTTACAGAGTGTTTGTATAAATTTGAGACCTCTCTCCTCACTTATCTTATACAATACAATACGTATCCTACACAGCAATATAAAGTTGTAACCTATTATACTTGGTAATATTAAAGGGATCAACGAGTGTTTTATATAACTATCGAAAAGTACTATTAGCGTACTTAAATTTTTATGAAGAAAGTTATTATTTGTTTTGGGTTTTTTATTGTTTATGAAACTATTAATTAGGTAGTTATTAAAAAGTTTTACAATAATACTAGTGAGTTGGCCATGATTGATTTGTAAAAAACTGATTTGTAAAAAACTCACTTATTATTATATAATAAAAAAAAAGTCAGTAAGACACATTATGTCAGTCAATAGCCATGAGATGGCGTCTGTATTGAATTTTTCGTATGACATTTCGGTAGTCCTAACCTTTAACACTAAAAGCACCAGAGAGGTCATTTTACCCGTTTCTATTTTTGACCCTCTGTATTACTTATTCATAGTTATTTTAGAAACTTAATAAGTAAGAACTTCTCAGAGTTCTATGTCGTGATACTAAGAAAAGAGATTCCTTCCATGTACTTTAATAATGTACGTCTCCGCATGACGTCACTGCGCAGAACAGACGAAATTTAGCATGCTATTGATCATACCTTCTTTTCGTTGTACCATGGTTCTATGTAAGGATTGTAATTTCTCTTTAGCAGGTACTTAGTGTAATTACTTTTTGAGTATGTTGATGTCTACCTAGAAAATGACGGCTTGCTTATTCTACTTTTTAGGGAAGTTCTTACTTATTTTCTACATGAAATGCATCGAAAATTGATAGTTAGTTTTTGCAAGTGCGTATTCAATCTTTACGGAGGAGGAACTATTAGAGTGTGTACAGAATTTGTCGTATAATAAATCTAAAGTACAGATATGCGATGAAGATGTATCCGATATGTTAAACCCAAGTTTAAGCCTGATAAAGGTGATCAAGGACATTCATCGGGTAGATATTCTTAAAATGAAGTTGATATTTATGAGATGCCTAGTATTTCTGCTTCAACTTCAAATGCGGTTTGTTTCCAATACCCTTTCAGTAAGGATTTCCAACAGAATAAAAGGAATTCGCAGAAGCAATTTAGGGAATCCCTCCATCGTCACCATAGTGTGAGAGTTACTTGACAACAGCGCTAGTATACCAGGTTAGCAACTACAGTCACTGCTTAATTTATTGGAATTACTTAGTAAAATCTATTTTTCTAAGTTTTATAGTCAATTATAATTATAACTATGTTATAAGTAACAAAACAAATACATATGATAGTAGTAACCTTTCTGCATATTTATTGAACAAAAACAACGTAAATTATTATAATATTTTACTATAACAATAATATTTTGTTAAGCTACCCTTTGCTTTAAGCAGTGCATGCTGTTTATGCATTTTCCAGCCATTTATTTTAAACTTTTGGTGTGATTATGATGGAAAAAAATTGTTTTTATCAACTGAACCTTGTTGGTAATTATTTCATTAGCTAATTCTGTTTTTAGTCACTGCCAGGCATTTTAAATGGAGTTCATGTCTGAAAAGCTGAATTTCTTGTTCTAACAAAAATTATTTAATAATTTTAGTCGTATGGCAAGGTCTCCATTCTGCATTCATATCTTATGGCTTTTACCAAACCATTCGTTTACTTGTGGAACCAATCTTGTCTGCAAAATACTTTTATATTGATCGTGTCGCATGGTTCCTTCTACGACATACAAACGTTCCATACCTTTCCCACTAATCACCGACTATATCATTACTGAGGTGGGATGTTTTTGTGGGATACAAAAAATATAATACCCATATCTACATATAAAATAGTAATAATTCTAAGCTTAAATCTAAATTTAATTGTTTTCAAAATATATACCAAAATTCAATAAAGTTATTAAGATATTTTATTTCCAAAGATTTTTCTGGAGGTAGAAAACATATTGTATATTAATTTTTGACACCCTTTATTTGATTAGCAATTCCAACATATCCACCTATTGTTGGTAAGGTCTTTTTTGCAGCTTTCCTAATATTTTTTCCAACTTTTTCCTAAAAGAAAAGAAAATAAAAAAAATGTATTATTTTTATGGACCAAGGATAACTGTTAATTTTAAACTATTAGAATTGTTTATATTATATTATATGTAATTATAATTAAGTAATAATAATTAATGTAATTATATTATAACCCAACAAGCGAGAGCTGGCGGGTTGCGCGTAGAACAAATTGAAAAGTGGAAAGGATTGCTCATTTCTATTGCAGTCGGCTAGGAGTTCACATCTTGTAATTAGTGCTAGATTTCTGACAGTGTTGTCAAGTATTCACATTTTTATTTGGAGTGACCCTATATTATAAACTATTATTTATATTTATTAAAATGACAAGTGTATTAAAAGGCAAACCTTTGGGATCTCAAATACGAGAAATAATTTTCAATGTTTGCAAGTTTACAACCGAAAAAGCTAATGCCGATAAAGTCTTAGTTGATTTAAAAAAGATACAAGAACCTGTAGCTCAATTAACTGGTAATTATAATACTCATTTTCAAAATAAATTCAGATTTAAATAATTTAATTTAAGTTACAATCAATAAAATTATAATCAATAAATAAAAACTTACAGAACAAAAAAATAGCAGTAAATAATAAGTAAACAATGGATCAGTTAATTAGTACTTTACAGTTCACTATTATTGATAATACAACATGTTTATTTAGTACAGATATGCTGGACACTTTAATTATACATTTGAATACGTTGCATTTTTCATAAAGTGAAACGAAATATGATATTGTAAGCATTAACATCACAAGATAAAAGGCCTATAATACTTGAGTTTACCGTCTGGTTTAGAAAAATAAACAAAGAATGTGTTCTGTGTTGTGTTTAGTTTAGTGTTTATGTTTAGTAATCAGTAACAGTGGCTTCCCACGGTCGGCGATTCTACAGATCTTCGCGGACAGCCGATAACCACGGACGGCAACGCACCGCAGACAGAGCTCTTCCCACGGTCCGTGACAGTCTGTGTAGGTCCGTGACAGTAGTATTTGATTTAACGCAGTGATGCCACTCCTCACGATTTATCGTGAGATCTCACGAATTGAAGACAAATCTTACGATCTCACGATTGACGTCTTATATCTTACGATTTCTAAAATTTTTAGGCTGTTACTAAATCTAAAGATAAATAATGGGTACCTAATAAAATTTATACGAGAAAATCAGCATTTTTAAAGTGCTCTTAGATTGTCACCTTGAAATATTCATAAATCAACTATATTTTTATACAAAAATGCTTGCACTACTCCAATTAGTATACACAAAATAATATAAACAAAGCTTAAAAAGTTCTTTATTGCTTTGAAAGTGTAAATATCGGTCCATAAACAACTGAAGTTTATGTATATTTTATCAATAAATATCAAGAATAGCCGGAATTTTGTATTAAAGGATCAACAGACCAAAATGATTTAAGTGTGTGTTCGAGATATGAAACAAATCAGCAATTGCATATAACAATAACTTTATATTCCATCTTCAATAACTTTGAAATCCTACAAGTACCGATAAAATGTTAAATCTTCAGAAAACAAAATGTTTATGTATATATATACCTATTATACTTAATATTCTTGGGTAAAATAGGTTTATAATTTTCATTGAAGTTTAAACTATAAAGAATGTTTATAATCATTGCCTAATATTGAATCGATAAATCCATAGCTTGCAGTATATAGATATAGGTAGGTAGATAATTTCCTAAATTTATATCTGATATATATATATATATATATATATATATATATGTAGAATGTAGAATGTAGAAAATGGGGCGGCCAATAGAGCCTGATACACTGCGACCTTTGCAGATCTATTGTGTTCCCCCCTTATTTTAAAGCACTTCATCTAGCTTGGTCCTCTTAATGAGACTCAACAGCCTTGATAGTGTATATATATATATATATATATATATATATATATATATTCCATAAACTTGGTTTATTTTGATACAAATTTAAAAAATCCAAAATAACTTCGTTTGTCCATTCCATTTTTTAGCAAAAAACTGCAAAACAACTTTGACAACACTACAGACAACTACTCGTAAGAGCGAATAAAAAACTTCTGACTTGCATTTGTCGTCTGTTAAAACACAGACGCGCTAGGATCGCGTCGCACGATCATGTACCGGACCTTTGATGTTACCGACTCTAGATGGATAGAACGGACCAGCACAGACGTGCCTGCGCTACCACGGACGAGACCCTTCCCACGGTGCGTGGTGCGTGCTGGTCCGCTTATGTCCGTAATATCGCCGACCGTGGGAAGCCTGTTTTAGAATAATTTCTTTTCTATTTTCGCGCAGCTGACCCGCCAGCTCTCACTTGTCGGATAATAAAATATACAAAAATATTAAATGCTGTATAATTAATTAAATTATACAGCATTTGTAGAACAAATTTTTCAAATGTCTGTGTCATAGAGTCGCAAAATGAGGTATGAGTAATACAAGCCATCCTATTATTTCTACGTTAATAAATGTTGGGTCTATCATTTTGGTACTTGATTTCAAAGTTTTCGCAAATGTTGCTTTAGGAGTTTTTAACATTTTACCAGTACATGGAAAAGTTTAAGTGAAAAAGTCAAGCAATGTTATAGAGTAATTTTCTTTAGTATGCTAACTGCCAAAAGTCGTATAAAGATGTCTTGTTCCTTTTTCATCAACACATTCTTATTTTTATCTTTAGCCATGAGAACTTTTGTGATGTTTTAAAAATCAAAATTGATGATTTTGTTACGTTTTAAAGGTTAATTACTATTAAACTGGGAATAAGCCACAATTAAAGATAAAAATACGTTTATTGACGTTTCAATTTCCACTTCGGAAATCGTTCTCAAAATACAAACAGTAAATTAAACAAATTTTGTTTTTTGTTACATAGTGAAAAATTCTCTAATAATTTAATTTTATCTGACTCATTTATATTGACAATTCAGACATACATTATGCATTTTAAAGTAGACGACTTTAAAATGATATTGCCAATATTGTTGAGTTGCGCTCCTGGGACGACTTTACTTATAAGATAGTTCATTCGATTACATGAAATCAACTTTAACTTGAGAATATCCGTCAGAAAAAAATCATAGCATGTAATTCGTCTTTAAAAAGACAAACACATGACATGATGACAGTAAAATTCTCCTGTTAGTGATTCCATAGTAAATTATGAGGGAAAAACCAGGAAAAAAACCTCATAATACTATCCCGACATTGTAAGTATTTGTTCGTGAATTTAGTTTACCTTCAACAAACATCAAAATTCTGATTTTATATGTTACGTTATTTAAAAAACAAAAATGATGTATCCTCTATATGTTACTGACTTACTAATACTGGTATTTTCTTATTAATAACTTCCTCTTTCAATATTGGTAACCAGATCCTACTACATTCTGCCGAGGAATTTGCGACACAATTAGCTTCATTTAGCATAATTAGAGCCGCTTCTTTGATTTTTCTTTTTTTACCATCCGGTTCTTTTAGGACTACATTTCAATTATTCCATTGAACCCTATGTTCATTATCCCATGCGTGTTTACAGATTTGAGATCTATCAAAATCTATCATATAGAGGATACATCATTTATGTTTTTTAAATAACGTAACATATAAAATCAGAATTTTGATGTTTGTTGAAGGTAAACTAAATTCACGAACAAATACTTACAATGTCGGGATAGTATTATGAGGTTTTTTTCCTGGTTTTTCCCTCATAATTTACTATGGAATCACTAACAGGAGAATTTTACTGTCATCATGTCATGTGTTTGTCTTTTTAAGGACGAATTACATGCTATGATTTTTTTCTGACGGATATTCTCAAGTTAAAGTTGATTTCATGTAATCGAATGAACAAAGTCGTCCCAGGAGCGCAACTCAACAATATTGGCAATATCATTTTAAAGTCGTCTACTTTAAAATGCATAATGTATGTCTGAATTGTCAATATAAATGAGTCAGATAAAATTAAATTATTAGAAGAATTTTTCACTATGTAACAAAAAACAAAATTTGTTTAATTTACTGTTTGTATTTTGAGAACGATTTCCGAAGTGGAAATTGAAACGTCAATAAACGTATTTTTATCTTTAATTGTGGCTTATTCCCAGTTTAATAGTAATTAATTCACAATGCCACAAGAAAATAGCTTCAGAACAATGTTTTATAGGTTTGTCAAAAATGAGTTGCTTTTCGAGTTGAAAAGCAATTTAAAATAAACTTTTCTGCTGACTGCCAGCTTCTTTGACGATCAGCATGAAATCGGCAACTTCTTTATATGTCGCTTTGCCAGTCAAAATATTAAACAACTATTGATGATCAATTGTATCATCAAATGGAATTATCAAATTTACGCATTCGGTTTTCTCTATTAAAACGATACCGAATGTGTATTAAAAAAAATGGGGTCATTTTGAACACTTATTGTAATATCATATTTATAGAGGTATTCGACATTTTTTGTACTTGTTAATTCATTTTAGCCATTTATTTGGTTGCACGTAATTTTTTAAAGGTTAATGAAAAGGGCCGTAACTCAATAAAAACTGTTTTTTGAAAAAAGTGATAAGAGGCAAATTTTTTTTAAAAATAATGTGTTAAACTATTGGTGCTACAAAACGTGTCCATTTTTGTTACAAAATGTCAAGTAGTTTAGGAGATAATGCAAAAAAAAAACAATTTTTATTTTGTAACTTCAAAGGGCTGTAACTTTTTTGTGTACACTTTTGTACTAAGGTAAGTTGGATTCATTCAATTTATTTTTGTCATTGGAATGCGTGAGTTCATTTATGACATACCTTTTTGAAACACCCTGTATAAGCATATTTTTATAAGTTTCAATCTTCTTTTTTGTTTTAGTACTTAATTCCTTATATCAAATAAATATCCTCAAAAAATTTTAAATCCTCAAAGAGTACTTTTAATGTTTAAATATTTTAAACATGGTTCAAATATTAATATATTATATGCATATTTTAAACATTATTCCCGTATTTTATTTAATCTTGCTTATGCATTAGAATGCACATTTTTAAAGATTTTTATTTATTTGCTCTTTAGTTATTAGTTCTTAAACACAATTTTGACAAAAATGGATATTTCCACCAATAAAAAATTGATAACAAGAAATTCACATTAAATGGATATTTGTGAAAAACCCATAGCAAGCAAAAATTACAAAAATATATACATGATTGAGTAAATTTCAATAGAGTAGAAGGTCAAAGACAAACAAAAAAGTTTGGGCCAATACATATTTTTACTTATAGCATAAACTGTTTTTTTATAATATTGGAACTGGAAGTGTGCCTGGAGCGTATGATGATTAATCGATAAATGGATGCGATCTCGACGCTCATATAAATTATTTATTAGTATTAGATTTAAGCATACAGTTATGTACGAGAGAATAAAGATATTGTTACATCGGAAACTGTTGCTTGATGCAGCATATTTTTATTTGCATATCATTTTAAAGTCGTCTACGTCAAATGTATAATATATGTCAATATGAATTGTCAATATTAATTCAGATAAAATTAAATTATTAGAAAGATTTTTCACTAAGTAACAAAAAAACAAAATTTGTTTAATTTACTAATTTTTTTATTTTGAGAACGATTTCCGAAGTGGAAATTGAAACGTCAATAAACGTACTTTAACCTTTAATTGTGGCTTATTCCCATTTAAATAGTAATTACCAATAAGTGAACGCACAGTTTGTCTTATGTATCAAGAATTACATACAACACAGGGAACGTGGTACACAACATTAAGTGGATATAATTATCTTAAATACAATGCCAATATACATAATTTAAAAAAATATTCTTAAACGATAATTATTTGCAAATTTTGAAAAACTTACCACTTTTTTCCAAAACTTTTTGCTTTCAATTTCTCCAGTAAGAGTTAATATAAGAATAATAGCAAAAATAAGAATAAAAGATATCTTCATTTTTTATGTCAGTAAGTTATCCTAGGCAAATCAGCTTTGAGTTCATTAGTAGGCTAGTTGCCTTTATATTTGAAGAAAAAGATAAGTGATAAATACACACTTTATCCACCTTTATATTAGACCTATTGTTCTAGTTCATTAAAAGGTTTTACAGCGATAATATTATAGTTAAAAACAATAGCAGCATTTTTAAAAACATATCATAAAACAATCATGTCGCAATGAAGGTATTTGTTATTGCAATGCCGACTTTTGTTTCTTGAAACCGTAATTATTGATAATTGAACGATCAGTTACAGTTTACAAAACAGTTCGATAAGGTAAATACTTTATTACTATATTATTGATAGCAGAAAGTGAATTAAAGATAAAAAGTTGTTCTTTAATGACAAATATAGAATATTCATTAAAGTAAATGTGCTTTAGGCCAGTCGTTTATTCAGGCTAATTAAGTGAGACTAAAATTGCTGAATGAAATTAAAATGTTGTCTATAATCGGTTCACAATTTATCGATAGCTCACTACAAGTTTAACCCTAATTATAGAACTGAAATACAGAGAGGATAGGTAATACGATATAATAGTAGAAACCAACCTGAAACTGACGGTATAAGATGTGTTCGACTAACCCACCTTGTATCTGAAGGAATACAATACAGCAGTCAACCTTATAATCTGATTACGAAGGTATTTTGGTTACAGATGACCGACCAGTGTCGTAGAGTATATAATTGAAACATTTATTTGAACTAAATAAATATATTTTTTAAATTGTACTCATGTAAATTTTATTTTTGTCTTAATAAAACTTTTTTATTTTATTCAAAAATGTGATTTGTAAAAGATATATTTATTTAATTAAGGGGAAAGGCGCCAACTTTTCAATAATGTTTTAAATGTATCCATTATTTTCGAATCCGGAGAAAACTACTAAATATTTTTGAAAAATTTAAACGCTGAATGAAATATTACATTATTACTAAGAGCAGAAAGTTCCTGAAAACTTCTACAATGTTTATTTGAATATGTTATGTAACAGAGGTGAAAATAAAAGAGAAAATATAGTATAATTTTTAATTGAAGATATTGCATGCAAAAGAAACTTTTTATTTATTCTAATAAATATTTTATTCTGCCTTTAAATTTTTAAAAAATGCTTTTTAGTTTTCTCTTCTTCAGGATTTGAAAAAAAAATGGATATATTTAAAACACATGGAACATTTTGACAGGCGACATTTTGCGCCTTTCTCCTTTAATACCTTACGATTACAACTACTATTAATTACCTTATATAATTACGATTAGAAACTATTCAAATTCAAAATAACTAGGATCAACTTCGGAATCCGAGTCGTCTTGAGGGTTAATAATTAGCGGTTGTGCCTCTAAGGTCGCATCAAATATGTTATCAAGATCCCACATTTTTTGTTCTTCTTCTATTACATGTCTTACTGCATATTTCCAGTTCTGTTCTATAATTTGTTGTAAAGACTCGTATAACAATTCACGTACAGCTTGTATTTTATGACGTATTTTTTCTAGCCACATAATTTTTCATTTGTGCCCAAATGAGTTCAATTGGATTTATTCCGCAGTAGTAGGGTGGAAGTCTAAGGACTGTGATGTTTCGCGTTTCCGCCATTTTGTCAACTACGTATTTCTTGAACTACGATTTGTGTAGCCGGGCAATTTTTAAAAGTTCTGCTTTTACCATTCCATCTTCGTAAGGCAGATACTTATTCCGTAGCCAGTTAAGAATATCCTATTTCTTCCACGCCCAAGTCTTTCTACTAGTCGTGAATGATAAGGTGCATTATCTAATACTATAATTGAATTTGGTGGTATATGTTTAATCATCTGCTCAAAATACTCTTCGAAAACATCAGCTGTCATCTCCTCGTGATAGTCTTTTGTGCCTTTGGACTGAAATTCCAACAAACCATGCTTAACAAATCCTTTTTTAATGCGAATGTGAGAAATTATTGATCTACTGCCTTTACTAGAAGGTGGGAAGATCCAGACCAGTAGACCAACGTTCCATAAAGGTTTGCCTGGAGCTTAATATATTTTTATCTGATATACTTTTTTTTTAGAGTATGACCTGAGTTTACCCACGTTTCATCCTGCTAGAAGATTAGCTTCCTATTGGTATTTCTTTTTTGAAAAAAATCCATGAATTTTTATTCGAGTACCATTTTTGGCAGATTCATCAATTTCAGTAGGCTTTCTCCCTCTCTTTAAGTGTTAGTTTGTGTTTGGGTTAGCTATACCGTGTTTTTCCTTTCTGATAGGAACTTATATATAGTTTACTCCCCTACGCCAGTCATGTTGGCACAACTTTCGACTATGTTGCGAACAGTGTTTGTGGGATTCTGAGAAACCAGAGCATTGTGAACATTCAGGACAATAGTCTTCTCTCTTGGTGAATAGATAAACTTACTGACTGTACGCAACAGTATAGGTAAAAAACTTAATGATGTTGATGATGAAGCCATCACAAACAATACAACAAAACGAGAACGAGCCAAAGGTACGTATATATTCGTAGGTATATGGAATAAAAAATTACTCACGCACTGCATATAATTTGAAAAAGAAATATTCTATACGCCAATTACTGCCGTAGACGCGGAAACACCGACGAGCCGTAAATTACATGCGATCAAAAACGTACTAAACAAAAGATTTGTTTTCGTTCGTAATAACTTCACCCTTACACTGAACAGACGAGGCACGTGGCCAAAGCCGGCATCTTTATACCATTATACCATTATATTATTAAAAATCTGGGGAATTCCATCCTAATTATCTTGCAACGAATAGTACCTTCAGATATGAATTCCAGGTTTTTTAGTAAAGTGATTAAACGCTAAGATTAGTATTGAAATATCCAAAGAGATAAGGTGTTCTTATTTACAAACTTGTTAATGGTTAAATTCTTATTTCTATTAATAAATTACCAACTTTAGCCGTGAAAGTTTTAATTGTTTTTTGCTAAGTCTATTAGTATTAAAACATTATTAATATTGATAAACATTTTGGAAAGGAAAATAAATGTAAAACGCATTAATTTTAATGAATAAACACCTTAGGAACGCTTATGATACAAATAATTTTACTTTGATGATACACAAGGCAAATATCGAACACAGTATTTAATCAGAAAACCCGGAGACAGAATCCCGGCTTCTATATAAAATGTAGCTTCTCCAATTTTAAATTTTAAAGTGTTTGTCTTTGTTTAGTGTATTTGTTATGTCCCAATTTACATTTATGACATTCTGTTACTGCTGGATAGGCCACAACTGACGAAATGCCCCTGAAGATGATCTTGTGATCGAAAGTACTTGGGCAAGATTTGATTAAATACTGTGTTCTGTGTTTGATTAAATACTCCCCTGTTGGGGATTATCAATGCGGATTTAGTCCGGGCCGCTCTACTATTGACCAGATATTCACAATAAAACAGATAATGGAAAAATGCTGGGAATTAGATCGTGAGTTTCATCAGTTACTCACAGATTTTAAACAGGCATTTTATATAGTATGCAGGGTTACTGTAGACAGCAATGCAAGAACTTGGGTTTAAAAAAAATAGCCAACTTAATAAAGGGTTACGATGTAAGGTGAGAGTTAGAAAACAATCCACGAAGACATTTGAAATAAACAATGGACTAAAACAGGGGAGTCACTTATTATATATTATTAATTTATAACCAATAAACCATCTATCTATCTATCTATCTATCTATGGAATCCGAATTTTTTTTCAAATTTGTAATTTCTTCGTTTTTCGTCTTTTTTTATGGAAAATAAGTGGTTTTTTTGGCAGTTAATTGTGCCGTTAAAGAGGTTTGGAACAGATTTTGTTGAAAGCAGACGTAGTGTGTTTAGTCAGAAGGAATCGGCAAACATGTTAAAAATTGTGAATTATACTCAATTTAATGTGTCAGTTTTGAAAAAATAATCACTATAGCTAAGTATTTAAGATATTTGCGGCGTTTACAACAATTTTGAAGGATAACCAATGTTGCCATTGTGTCCAGTTGCATTACAGTTGTATTCCAGTTTTTAAGAAGCCGAGAAAACAGCTTCCATCCTCATTTTGTTTGTCCGAGGTCATCAGTTAGAGATGCCTTTGCTTAAGTTGCAGTCAATCTGAGCCCAGTTCTATCCCAAGAAATTTAAAAGAAAAAAAGTAACATTTAGTGAAATCCAGATAACTTTTTATTATTGAACTTTTAAAGTAAAAATATACATTTTCTAGTAATAGTTGCTTTCATAACAGTTTAAGAAATTGTAATAATTAAAATTATAAATGTTGGGGTGTGGCCTAGCTGTCATATTAATTATTCTGTTTTAGAATTTAATATTGATATCTGACAGCTGGTTTTTTTACATTTCACACATATCTAATCATAACTAAGAACTTGTTTTTGGTTTGTTTTTTAAAAAGGTTAACCTTTATGTATAGTCCCATATAAAAAGAAATTTTTTATTTGTAATAATTTATTTCTGCTACAAAATATTGCCCATTAACAATTGTAAGTTCCTGTAGTATCTCCAACTTCTAGCGTTTCTAAGCGGATAGTAATGTAGTAAGTTTGTTTGTTGTATTTTATTATTAGGGTGGCCGCACACAGAAAAAGCAAAACTGTTTTAGTCAAAAACGTTTTTGTTTGAAACGAAAATGTTTTTGTTTCTACAAGAAACATTTTCAAGAGAAACAAAATGTTAGCACGAACCATACTGCAGTCAGTTTTATTAAAGATGTCGACAGATAACGACGAAATTGCACTAGTTTTCTGGCAGTGGTTCCTCTTACAAGACAAAAAAAACGCAAAATAAAAGACAATTTTGGATAAATCCTATAAATGAGAAATGAACTGGTGAAAAACTCTCCAGTCTTTGCGATTCAAATTTTGATTGTAATGATCTTTTAATTGATAGTTATATAAGGAGGTCTGGCCTAAATCAGTACAATTAATTTTTTCTGCGTCCACTTCCAATATAAACAAGCAAAATATCGTTGTTTC